CCATTCGAATTTCTGTAGGCGGGAATTATTTGTAATGAAATTCTAATGAGCCGCTTTGTGATATCACAAAGACCGGAAACCAAACGCTGTAGTCCAAACGAGCTGTTTGTTGTAGTTCTTGAAAAAGGATTTTTAAAAAACTAATTATCTCCCTTTGGAGTGGACTTTGAGATTTGTAACTTTCTAGATCTTTTTAATGCCCAAACATACACACTACACACCGACTAAAATTAAAAAAGTGAAAAAGCATAATAGGACCCCTTTAAGTCACTTATTTGTATAGTAGGGCACAAAATTCGGCATCATTACTCCAGTCTTCAGGGTCACATGATCCTTCAGAAATCATAATATTCTAAATATTCGCTGCTCAAGAAACATTTCTTATTGTTATGAATAAAGTTGAAAAATTCTATGATGAATAGAAAGATCAAAAGCAGCATTTATTTGAAATAGAAATCTTTTGCAATATTATAAATGTATGTGTTGTCACTTTTGATCAATTTAATGCATCCTTGCTAAACAAAAGTATAAAGTTCTCTCAAAAAAATACGTATAAAATCTCTGATTATGTAATGTCAGAGTCCAGTTGACCCTGTGCTGCAGAGCAGCAAACTTTGGCATTTACACACTGGCAGCTCAGAGTCTGGCAGCAGTGTGTGACCATATACCGACCGTTGCACATTCAACAGACACTTTACAAAGACAAATGCAGAAATTCAGATGCATTTATGCCCCGCACACACATAACTATTTGCCTACAGACTTGCACACAACAGCACTGCATTCGCGCGAAGCTCCACAGCTCAATGGAAGAGTGCCGTACAGACCCCCGCTCTGCGCATGACATCCACCGGGATCACCGTCTCCATCTCCTCCGCGCCCTTCGCCAGAATCACTAGAGCTCTTTTACCAGCCATGACTGCGAGTCCGAGGCCTGTGACGGTCTGCAACGCAATACAACGCCACTCACACACACGACGCATTTATTTTAAAAGGCGTTTCCGGGTCTGGTTACTTCTGGGGAACTGCCAGGCAAAATAAAAGTCTTCTTTTTAGTTCTTCTTGTATTTAATGGCGGTGATTAATTTATTATATCCCTATGTGTAATCATGTACTTTGTATTATTGTTAAAATAGAATCGTGTAATATATGTCAATATCTGAAGTGTAAAAATTGAGTTTATTATAAATAGTCATCATAGAGATGAAAAATGTAGACCCTTCAACCAGAAAATATACACTACAGATTTATTTTCAGTTATGGAAATGAAACTACAACAAATAGCCAAATAGCTTACATTAATAATACCTGAATAAAAGGGTCCCTTATGTAATTCCTTTTGATCTGTTTTTATCTGATCAGGCTCCTATATTTATGTTCAGTTATTTCACTTTAAGTGCATAGAAAAGGGCCTATATGTTTGACATTAGAGTCAAATTACTGAACCTAGGAGCCTGATAAAAATGCTCATTTTAGATGAAAATTTCAGATGTGTGTGTGTGTGTGTGTGTGTGAATATGTAAGTGAATATTCTATAGTTGTATACAGTTACAAATGGCTTTTAAAGCCATATAGAGTATGTAGATGTTTGAATAGTTTTACTTGGGTTAATTAATTAATTTATGTTTAGATTAAAAGTAAAATTGTTTTTAAAATGGAACAACGTCACTGTGTAAGGTTTTAGGGCAGGTATTAAGGGAAAAATGCTAATGATTTTGTATCAATTCCAAATGTTACGGTTTATTGGAATGCTTTTGTCTCTGGTATTGCCTGGAGGAAAGCTTGGCTGATTCCAAATATATACTTTATTACTAATAATAAGATACAAGAAGTTTCCTTTCGAATTATCCATCATATATATATCCTGTTAACACTTTCTTAAAGAAATACAAAAAAGATATTGATACAAACTGTTCTTTTTGCAAACAGCACCCAGAGACTATAGTGCATTTATTTAGGCACTGCCATTACCCTAAATTGTTGTAGAAAGACCTCTCTTGATTTGTTATTGAGAACATTGATAAAGATCTTTCTTTACTATGGGAAAATGTTTTGTTTGGGCTTGTTAATTTAAAAAAAGTGCATTTAGAAAAACAAATTGTACTTAATCTCCTTAACTTGTTAACAACATTTTATTTCTCATATCAGAAGCCACTGTTTTATGTTTTGCTAGCTAAAAAACAGCATTATTATATGGGACTTTTTCTAACTCATGTAATAAGAAGGCTTTAAAAACAGTTTAAATTTGTAAGCTGTTTAATCTTTTCCTTTGAATGTAATGTGTTTTGTTTATTTTTATACCCCTGTCTAGTAATTTATTTGTTTTGTCATTATTATAATTTTTTTAATTTTCTTTTTATTATTATTATTATGTTTTTTTGTATGTTAACTGCTTTTATTGGTTGATATAATGTTCGTAATAAATAATAATAATAATAATAATAATAATAATAATAATAATAATTTTGGGAAAATGCAGCTCTTCGGCCACTAGAGGACGATATAGACCACTGAATTGCAGTTTCAGGCATAGTATTGGTAACTGGCTTTTGATGGGCCTGAAACAGCATTCAGTGTCATCATCAATGACTATGAGCAACAGAAATGTTGACACTGGAGGCAAATTTCCAATAATTTCAAAGGAAATGTAATAATTAATGTGATGTAGGACTGGAAGATGAAGGATTTTGACGAATTTTTACAAATGATTTTTTAAAAATCGTCTCCAGTGCAAAATTATCTAAATCCTGCACCTTAAAGGGACAGTTCATCCAAAAATGACAATTTGATGTTGATCTGCTTACCCCCAGGGCATCCAAGATGTAGGTGACTTTGTTTCTTCAGTAGAACACATTTGATGATTTTTAACTCCAACCGTTGCAGTCTATCAGTCGTATAATGCATGGCAATGGTAACAAAATCTATGAGAGTAAAAAAAAACATGCACAGACAAATCCAAATTAAACCCTGCGGCTCGTGACGACACATTGATGTCCTAAGACACAAAACGATCGGTTTGTGCCAGAAACCGAACAGTATTTATATCATTTTTTACCTCTAATACACCACTATGTTCAACTGTCTTTGTTCGCGCGCACGGCTTCCGGTGCGTGAGGTGTGTACGCGCTCTGGCGTACTTTGTGAACAGTGTGCGTTGTTGAATTTATGATCTGGAGTTATTTCATTTGCAACTACCTGCCCGCTCCTCAGGCCTGTCCCAAGAGGCATCAGGATAATTGGTTATTGAC